CATAAGAGATGGTTGAAGAAGCACTAAATGTACTGTCACGGTAAAGCAAAATGATGATTGACTAAGTGTCAGGCAAGTCACTAAAGGCTTTGCCTATATTACCTCATATATTCCTTACAACAGCAACAGCAGAGGAAAAAACTGAAATTGGAGGTAGGCTACATTGCCCTAGGTCAGGTGGCAGGAAGTGACAGGAGCTCAAGTCACGCCTGTGTTTGCTGAACCCAGATCTGTGTGTTTTCCTAAAGAAACACTCAGACTGTTGGTTGGAGGAGCAATTCCTTTCTAAAATGTGCTGAAGGAGAACTCTGCTACCCTATGACGCTATGAATTGCCCCCAGCCCACCCCCATCCCTCCGAAGCCCTTTCTAGTAGAAAGCACCGGCTCTCCTAGAAGCCATAATTTCTTTAACTGGGCCATGCTTCGGGCTTGGCAGGGTGAGCAATGAGGGCATCTGCAGGTGGCAGGCGGTCTGTCAATGGCTGAAAGAGGGTTAAAGAAAGGCTGGCCTGCCCGGCTGACTGCCTCACACCCTCCATCTGTGTGTGCTTCTCTCCCGCCAACACTGATGGGTGGGGGTGGGGGTGAAGGACACTGAATAATTCTTTCTGTGATTCTCTCTTCTTTGAGAATTTTAGCCTGTAAGTTTCAGTGTTTATTCTTAGGTTATTATAATGTATACACTGAACATGGTGATTTATGAACAAACTTCCTTTAAGAGTAACTGAATGAAATTGTTTATTTCTAAGGAACTTATAAGAGCCTTTAATATTTTTGATAGCGCCTAGATTGGGGAAGGGGTGGAACTGACCCTGATGCCACTGTGTTAAGCCATTATTATGTGATGGGAGAATAAAGTCCAAAAGAAGCAAACATAGGAAGCACAGATTGAATAGCCACATACTTAGGAGGATCCATCCATATAAGCTTCCTGTTGAGCTTGAGAATAGGGGTAGAAAGGAGTTATCCTAAGGGGCAGTTTTACCAACCAAATGGCTCCTTTTAATAGAATCCCACCTGAGGCATGGTCAGGGGTCAGAGAAGATACCTGTTAGTTTTAAATATTTTGGATTGAGAGGTGAATAATATAAAATATAGTGGATAGCTTTCATTTTCCTTTTTTAAAATTAATATCCCATTTAGATCGATGCCATGGAGTGCCAGGTAATCTCTTGGGAGGAGAATGGAGAGGTGTATGATAGCTTGACTGTAATTTTGGCCACAGCTTGTTGACATCTTTGTCAGGAAATCTCTAGAAGAAGCTAGGAAAGTAGCATCTAACACTGACTTTGTAGTACTGTGTCACAAGTCATCCCGTTATTTAGTAGATTAAAATAACAACAGTTCCTTCATACAGTCCTGTGAGTCAAATATTTGGGATGGGTTTAGCCAGACAGCTCACAAGCTGGTCTCACCTGGAGCCCCTCATGTGACTCAAGTTATCCATGGCGAGAGTATGACCCAGCTTCTATAATGGCTCGTGGACATCAGCTGGGGTAGCTGCCAGCCGAACAGCCTGTCTCTTTTCAGTTTTCCTGGGCTTCTTCATGTGGTGGCTAGGTTCCAGACCAGCAACAAGAGGAAACCCAATATGCAAGTGCTGTCAAGCCTCTATTTGAGTCACTTTGGCTAAGGATACACACGTCACCTCAAGTCGTGTAGCCAAATCCAAAGTCATTGCAGACCATGGGCTGGATTCAGAGGGACATGGTTTGTGATGGGATCCTCACAATATCAGTTTCCCTTCAGTGGTATTTGAAAGAGTAAGTAAGTTCAACTTTAGGTATTGAGTGCTGGAGTTTTCTCCCTAGGGATTTTGTCACATGGAATGAGTTCTGTGATAACTCCAACCAAACCAGCAGGGAGCTAGACTGGCCAAAACAGCTGGATCCTTTTTTTCACTTGAGAAGAACAAAATTACACATGTAAATTATTTATCTTCAGGTACTTACCTATGTCATCTGCTGTTCTCTTAGTTAGGAAAGTGATATGGTTTTGTTTTTGCTACCCAAGTAAGAATTGCCTTTTCTTGGTAGGTGCACCCCAGAAAGTCAGTCCTTGCTAAATGGATTGAGAAACTCAAAGACTAATGGAGGTTAGCTAGGGTGGATGTCTCTATCCCACACTTAATAAAAATAGAGTGGAATTATGCAATTATGTAGATAAGCTAATCATCTGACCTAATCAGCAATGCAGATTTTAGAAAGCCTTTTTAATTACTTCCTCAACTTGGCTGAAGGTATGGGTAAAAAGAGTTCCAGCATGATGGTAGCAGATGTAGTTCATAATATTTATTGAAAATATTGGAAAGAAATTCTCAATTATAATGTTCCTGAAAAGCGCATCAAAAACTATATCATGTTTAACATATTTTAAACTTTGTTAAGATAGAAAACATAAATCAGACAATCAGCTCTCTTTGCAGTTATTTGGAATCATTCATGCAGCTACACATCATCTCTCAGTGCATGATAGCTTATTGGTTAACTGCCTGGATCATCGTTAAGTTGTATTACTTACCTATAAAGCTCTAGTTGTCTTGGACAGAATACAGTCACTAGAATATTCTCTTTTGTTTAGCTATTCGGTAACTTAGTATCTTGGCAAAAGAGTCTTAGTGCATGATGTTTCAACAACTTTAAATGTTAAATTGTTGACATTTATAGGCTATGTAGCACCACACAATATGTGACTTGGAAGCCTAGCTAGATCTGATACTCATTTTCTTGGCTGAATTTGAGTAGTTATGAATGACTGTTACATGAATCATTCAATAACAAGATTACCCCAGAAAAGAAACTGTCTTTGAATTCCTGATTGAATACCTATATCACCCTCTGGATCCTATGCTACTTAAGTACTGTTTATTTGTCATTACCTTCCATTCAGCTTCTCAATATCTTCCTCGTACATTCTCTTTAATATAATTAGCCTGAGCCAGTTTCTGTTGCCTGCAGCCAAAGTAATCTTAAATAACACAGTGCCTCTAGTGCCTTGGACTAACTGATGCTATAGTGGCTCTGTTAGCAGGTGGCTGCTGTGGAACTTCTTACTTACCTCATCTAGGGAATCTTGAGCTCACATGGGAAGGACTCTTTTTTCCCCCACCACATGTGATACACCCCCATCTCAAAGATAATAATAATAATAATAATAATAATAATAATAATAAAGCTCTCAATGATTGCCAGTGCATAATTCTTGGCACTTGAGGAAGTGAATTCTGTCTTTGTGGAAATTGTGAATGCAAGTCACAGGACATAATTGTTTTCTTTGAGGATAGAGCCAGAAAATATGAAAAATCCACTGTATAACTCCATTTCTTTGTTTCATTTCCTTGTTAGTAACTTGGAAATTAGAACAAAGGTATATGATTGAAAGTCATGTTAAATCTTTAGCTCTCCAAATTCTTAAATTTCTCTATCAGCATTTCTCAACCTGCTTGTTACTGACTAGTTCTTTCACTGTTGCGTGGAACAACTCTCTTGTATCCTGTGTCCAGCAGGTTCCCTGGCTTCTGCCCCACTGGATGTCACATTGTCTCCTACCCAAAAGAAGTAATAAATCAGAATGTCTCTAGACATAACAGGGGAGGGGGAATAATTTGCCATCAGTTGGAGTCACTGACTTGAAATTATTTGAATTATTTTTTCTTTAACTCAGTGTTTACTAAGTACTTTGCTTTTCAGTTGTGCATTGCACATTTAAATATGTTTATACTTACAGGCAGCATATATGTCCAATACATTGGCCCTCTAAGTTCAATAGATCTAAGTTGCTTACTGAGTTTAGTTAAAAATCTGTTAAAACATTCTAGGTATAATTTTTTGCCCACATTATAAATGCTAAGATCAGAAGATGGTTTCCTTGTAGATAAAACATGATGAAATACCAGCTTTCTCTACCTAATGGTTCTACCTAATATATGAGATATAGTACTGACCAAAAAGAAAGAAAGAAAAAAAATAAAGGAAAAAGGGTAGCTGTAAATGTGCTCTAGTGTAACTGTAACCTTGATTTGTAAGTGCTTTCTGAGCAATATGATTGCAGCTGACTAAGATTGAGGGTCATATATTAGCAATGCAGTTGTGTAGCTAGTCGCTTTTAATTTAAAAGATGTGCTTGTTTTGTGCCTGAGGTGAGGGTTGATGGAAATCTTAGGCGTGGTTGCAAAAGCTGTTCATAGAGAGGAGATGAAGTGGAAATTAAATGTAATTGTAAAAATTATGCGTTAATATACTCGGTGTTGACGGTAATCTACTCATTTTGAAATACTGATAGTCCGGTCAATGAGGGTCAGGTCACCAGGCTGTTCATTGCTTTGGCTACTTCACAGTGGGAAGAGCATCCTGTGTGGAAATACCTTTTTGGGAAATGAATTCAGGATGGGGATGAAGAGCACTCTCTAGCACAGATAAACACAGATTTCAAACACTACAATTGCTGTCATTTTTCTACTCTCACCTGGTGAGGAACTACTACACAATAACTCACTGAAGTGTGAAAAATACCTCAAACTTTGAGACTTGTAATCTTGTCCTTCTTTAATCTTATTATAAGAGCTGTAAACAAACAAAATCTACTCTCCTCATGTTCTGTACCTTCCAGCCAGAGTGCTAATGAAAAGGGAAATGGTCAGAACTCTGGCAACAGAAATAAGCAGCCGCCAGAGGGTTGAACGGTAACTCATGAACTACCTAATCAGTTTCTGACCACTCAGGAGTGGGTGATATTGTGCATTTCATCATTCCTGTTCCGTAATCATGCCCTGCAATGCTTGAGAGTGGAAGGAGGAGTTGTCTATCAGATGAACAAGGGGCAAGGGTCCGGGAGTGCCCAGTATGTCAAATATACCACTCTCACTAATTTCTGGGATTTCTAGAAAACTCCATGTGTATGATATACACAGAAGAGATATTCTGTGCTTGATGTTGGTCCAGGACAAGGTAAACTTTATGCACACTAATTTTAATTCATTATATATGCCTTTTTTTCCCAGCACAAATGGACCCCCGAGGCCTATCTCCCAGACAAAGTAAAAGTGACAGTGATGATGATGACCTGCCAAATGTGACCTTAGATAGCGTTAATGAAACTGGATCTACGGCCCTTTCCATAGCCAGAGCAGTACAAGAGTAAGTATCATGTTCTCAGGATGAAATAAGCATTGCCAAGATGTTCAGTGGGTAATGGAAACAGCCACTTCTCCTGTACCTCAGACCTGTGGTCCTGCCTCTGAACTAGCTTGTGGCAGCCTCTTCCCATTCAGCATCCTACTTTGGGAGGGGACCGGGGGGAGCCTGGAGTGTTGGCCATAGTTAAAAATGTGTGTTTTGATCAAAAAATAAGACTTACTGTATCATTTTAGTGCCCTTCCTCCTTTCTGTTTTAACTCTGGAACAAAAAAAAAAAAAAATTGGTCTTTTTGAATATCACTCTCTAGTGCAGTAGTCTAGAGAAATAAAATATGGCAAGTATTATTATTTTGTTTTGATAGGCTATTACACAAGAATTTTTTGAAATTGTAAAGTTAGAAGGTAACATTATCACCTTGAAAAATTAGAGCTCATGTAATTTTTAAAGGAGTGTTTTCGCCAACATGGTAAATTTCAGCCCTTATTTAAAAAAAAAAAAAAAATACAAAACTGCTTTTCCACCATTGTCAGTTCTGTATCTAACTTACGTGCATTACTTCCCTGCCATAGTTTTTACCAACATAATCTGGAAGGGAAGGGTCTAAATAGCCACTGTTGCTACTGCAAGCTAATTAGCAGTTTGCTTAAAATGATCTTTGCTGGCTCCCACATAGTAATTCTTTTTCCCAAATATTGACGTAGTACCTATACTGTTTTTATGCAGTAGGCCCTGACGTTAAAACAAAAATTACTGTAGTATATTAGAATTTAAATTGTGTGTGTATGTGTACATGAATAAGATATAGGTAATATGTTGTACATAAAATATTTATGTCAGAGGAACCAGGATATAGTCAATTTAAAATAAAATTTGGAATTGGAAAGATCTGGATTCAAATTCAAGTTTAAATTCTTTATCACTTTGTGTTTTACGACAAGTTATTTAACCAATCTAGGATCATTCTTCATTTGTAGTAAGAAAATCAGAATACTTGCTATATGGGATTATTGTGAATTTCTGATATAGCAACTTGGTGTGTAAAAAGCTAGTCACAAAGTTATGGCACAAAGAATGAATCTACTACTATAATAGTGATAGTTGTAATAATTACAGTGAATAATGTAAGTAATAATAAGTATATAATAATTTGAAAGTCCAATTGTTGCAAGTATCATTATTCTCATTGTACAAATGAGGACTCAAGGCTCAGAAGTTACATGACTCCTCCAAAGTCAGAACATAGATGGTAACAAGGTAAGCTTAGGGCTACTAATCCCAGAATCATATTTTTCTAAGAGTGCTTGTAATGTGTGTTATCAATAGTATTCTTCCGCTGCAGTCCTTAGAAAAATATTTTTTCTCATTTATGCCAATAACCGGTTGTAGTGACTTAGTTTCTCCAGAGCAAATGTTGAGTTGAGAAAGCGTAGACATTGAATCCAAGGGATTGCTGATACTTACAGTGGCATCAGACTGAGTCACCTGATTGCTGATTGATTATATTGTGACCACTGGTTTTATTTGCATCACTTTCTGGCTTCACTGTAGTATTTATTGTGTGTGTGTGTGTGTGTGTCGTGTGTGTGTTTCTTTTAATTCAGTCTATAAAGTTTGAAACTATATTACTAAAGTTTAAATTATGCCTCTTACACCATTCTTACACCATTTGGAGCTTACATAGCAAATAATGACTTTAACTTCAAATGTAACCATTTTTGTGCTTTTACTATCATGTGCTTATAATACAATAATATAGTTTAATGTAAAACTTTTAATAGCAGCCTCAGAAACTGGAGCTTCATTTTCAACATGGGTGCTCTGATTTGCTTTGTGAGAACATTGTCAGATCACAGTATTTTCTGGAAGTGTGGACATGCTTGTTTTTATTACTATTATAAAAGTTGCACGTATATCTGGGGAAATACAATTACAGTATTTATGTAAGTGTTTTCATTAAATTATGAAAGTAAAGAGTAAATATGAAAGTAAAGAACACCAGGACCCATCAATATTTAATTAACCAACATTTAAGATAGAGTATGTGTGTAAATACCAGGAAGTACTAAAATACTGTTAGGTGAAGAAAAAAGAATGATTTGCAGAGACCTCTTAGGTATACTTCAAAACTTACAGTGACATTTTTAGGAAATTTCTTTTAGAACAAATAATTTTTATATTTCTTGTTAGAAAATTTTCAAAACATCTGTACAGAGGCTTACCCAAAGTGAACTTTCAGTGTACAATTGTGAATTCTGTTCTTAGTTCTCCTTGATTTTTTAACATCTATCACAGTTTCACCATTGAGTTCTCTTGTTTTTCTGTTTGTCTTTGGATATTGATGTCAGCATATACTTAAAAACTCCCCCCAAAAATCCAGCATGAGGCAGCCAGTAAAATAGTGCATTAAATAATATAAGAGTAAGACCTCAATTTAGCTACTCATGTAAAAGATAAGAGGGTTTCAGAAGAAATCTGTTGATCATCCTTTTCTGCCCTTGTATAACTTTCCTAAGAGAGAGGTTGGAAAGGATGTCTGCAGGTTGAGGGACAATGAATTCAGAGGCTTATATACAATAGATACGACATATTTAAAAAGCCCTGGGAATCAATACACATTTGACTTTCCAGTGAAAGATAAAAAGAGCCATGATATAGGTTTGAATGCTTGACTCATTTCATTGGCCAGTGGACTGTCAATAAAAGGGGGAAAATGAGAAAGGGAAAGATGGTTAGGAAGGTTATATTACAAAGGGCTGAAACTTCTCCTTTAAGGACCAGTTCTTGAAACAAGATGCTAACCCATAGGGTAAAAATCTCCAACTGAAGCACTTCTTGTCTCCTTTCCCATTCAAATTCATAACCTTACCTCACACAATAACTATTATTATTTGAATTTTTAATTTGTTCACTTACTCATTAACATTAATAAATTTACATAGTATAAATGTGCTAATAAATATCCCCAAATAGCTAGTATTGTGCATTTTACTGATTTTTAAAATAATCTTATATCTTAGATTTAAAAATATTTGCATTGATTTCATACGTAACCACTGTCAGTCAAAATTGCACCTTTTCCCACCCCAAATATTCCTCTTTAAATTTAAAAGAACTTTGATTGCTAGAGCAGTAGTCGAGGTCACCATGATTTGTTTTTTTCCTCCACCTTCTATTACATCCTCCTAATGTTAGCCGCTCCCTTAACTTCAGAAACCTTACTTTTTTTTTTT